TTTTTAAAAGTTTTTTAAAATTTTGTAAAATGTTTTAAAATTGTTTAAAGTTTACCAATTTAACGACTTGTGTAGTGTACACCCTGTACACGCCTGAAACGCCTGTATAACATTTGCTCATGATCCTGCATGCAGTTGTCTACGTAAACTAGCTGCATGATAAGCACTGTCATAAATCCAGCACTGGCTACTAGACTTCCTAAAAATTGTACATATATACTCAGTAATCTAGTAATTACGAATAATCTTTCTTATCCGTGTATTTTAAGACTCAATTTTTCATGCTCGAAGCTGAAAATTCTATTTCCGGTGAAAATAAAAGTTTACTTTGAGTGGTAAAGAAATGAAATGAGCGGCACATAATTTATTTTTTGAAATAATAGGGAGTGTGATTCACATACAAAACCCCGGAAGTACCAACTTTTCGACCTGCCTTACCAAAATCGTTCCTGATTTCAATTCCTTCAGCCCGTGGAAGTTAAAAATGGAGGAAAATTACAATAAATGAACTTATTCCCACAAAAGAATGAAGAATAATTTGGATCTGAAATTTCGAGATTTTTTCTTGATGAGTTTTTTAGATGTAAAATTCCGGATGCGTCTTTTGGAATTAAAATCCCACCGCGTCATTTTCGATTGGTTATTTAGTATCTAATAATCAGCGGACTTTTTCTTGGTTAACACTGGGAGGATGGAGGCCACTTTGTCTTCCATTTTTCTGAAACGCAGAGACTGCCAAAAATGTATTTCATTATGAAAGATCAAGGCGTTGTCGGGAGGTCAAATATTCCTAAAAATCTCAGTAAAAGGCCTTCATCGGAAGTCATGGGACATGGTGAGGTCTGGGGTCCCAAAGTCTTTTTGACTACGCATTGGCACTAACTAAATGAAGAAAACATGGAAAAATGCGAAGCAGAAGTGGAACACGAGACGTATAAGTGCTCATCATGACCATTTTAATTTTATTCCCAGGGCGGGAATGCAAGCGAAGTAGAGATTTATAGCAAATGTAATTTGTAGCATTAACAGCGCAAATATTTCCCCTTTAATTAGCGTTAACGTTTCTCGGACAATTTAATTGATCCCCTCATAGCGGCTTCATAATTCTTGCCATAAAACAGTTGCAACAGTATCCGAGGTCTAATTTCATTCAAACTCACGTTTTTATCGCCCTAATTGCGTTATGAATGATAATTAATTTATTCTAACTGTCGATGGGGTTTGGGGAACAAGAATAAAAATGGCCGTAATAATTGAACGCTTGCCAGCGCAATCTCACGCAAGAGGCAAGAATACAGATCTGAGGCGGAGGTTATACCAATCTGGTTGAAAGCTACATGGGGTTTGGCTCGCTCATAAGCGACTGCACATGTGCGTGATTTTAAGCACTCGTGCAGTACTCCATACACGCAAACATTCAAACTTTAATGGCGTCAAAAATTTCAACGTCAAAACAAGCGTTAACATTTAATGACGACGATGTATTCATGTCATGTAAATCTGGCCACCAGGGAACACTGTTAACTCCCCCTATCTTGTCCAAAATTGTCCACCCAACCTGAATTCAATTTTAAGATCACCCGACTAAATAAACTTAATATGTGGTGCATTCGGTACATTCTACTCTGAACTCAGTTCGAATATTTGCAAAAGCCAGAGAGAATGTTGAGGGAGACTTTTACTTTTAAATATCATACCCTTTTTCAGAAATTCGATTAATTTTATGGTATTTTTTATATTAAGGGAAATTTAACCCCCCTCCACTCCACTAAATCTTGGCTGAAACGGCTCACATAAAATTAAGTAAAATATTACGTGTACCTGAGTGCGTAGAAGGTTCCATCTTATCGGCAGTCATAGTCTCAGATATTCGATTGTGTCTGGATATAAACGACGAACATCAGAATAAATGTTAACTACCTACTTAGACTTGCCACCAAAATAAAAGTCTTTGCGTGATTCTGAACAACCAATGAGGAAGCGAATTCCAAATTCACGTTAGAAAACGGCGTCGTCTTGGGCAACAACATAAAAATGACTTGCCTCTGAGCACGTTGCAATTTTGTATGACAATGTTGCTGTGGGGGTTCCCTATAATTTTGCGCGCGAAAATAAGCCCCGCCCCCACAACACAAAACAACTTCGAACAAAATGCGATTTCGCTTGTTGTGAGTGTTGCCGCCAAACAAAATACGACTTCCTACTGGGCAAAATTTGGCAGTCTACGAGAGCGCACTGAAAAAAAAATCTCGGCGTATTTACTAAGAAAAGGGTAAAATTACCAAGAATTCAGGGTTCTATTTGATCCCAGTTTTTTCTTGGTAAAGTTACCATTCATGGAATTGGTAATTTTACCGAGAAATCTCGTTAAAATTATTGAACTTTCCCGGTAATTTTACTGGACCTGGTAAAAACGCCAATATTTTTTATCGACTGTGGTAGAATTACCGAGATAAAATGGCAAAGTTACCGGGAATTGATTACCAATAAAAGTGGTATTCTTACCTGAGAAAAACAGTAATAATACCGGTTTTTAGGTAAGCTTACCAGTCTGTCTTGGTAAAATTACCAATAATTGGTAAAAAAAAAGTGAGATGGTGAAGGTACCAACGGACCTTGGTAAAAACGCCGAGAATTTTTTTTCAGTGCGCATACGTTGTTCCTCCTCCGCGCGGCAATTTCAATCTCGCTGCGGAAGGAATCGAGGCAGTCTGATTAGCGAGAACTCACGTGAACTGCGAGGTGCCAACACCCCCGCCTCGACGAAACGGCCAATTTTGGGTGGAGTCACCACCCTTTCCGGCCATTGAGGCCGCCACCGATAACTCAATCAAAGGCATAAAAAGGCCCGACATGCCCGCGGCGTGCAATCAATTACGATCCTCACCACCGCTGCCAAATCGCCCATAAAATACGGAACCTCCCCTTCCCTCGGGATTTCAAACTTCACACCACTCGACAACGAGCCTCTAAGGTGGTTGATTGGAACACCACCGTGCAGTCTTGCCCCCACACTGCCGCGCTAAGGAGGAACGTCATATGAATCTTCAGGCGTTGCCACATTTACTCCAAAACAAAACGAATTTACTGGGGAAATTGTGAATATTTTTCTTCAAATTTTTTGGAAAATTTTGTTTACAATGTAATCTAAAATATCTGAAAATTTCAAGGACAAAAATGCATAACTTACCTCAAAAATACATGTTTTAGCCGGATCAATTTGGCAACTCTCGAAGGTTCATACGGCGTTTTTCCTTCGCGCACCTCCACGACCCCGCGTCCCCCGTCAGTGCATGTCGTGTTGTTTGATGCAAGCGTTGTTCACCGTTAATAAGCTGTAGCACACCGCGGGTTCCAGTTGCGCATCGCGAAGTTTCGATGAACCGCGGATCCAAAGGAAACTAGTTCTGGTATGCTAACGACTAATAATAGATTTGGTCCTAATTCGCATTATCCCAGATAAAGGAGCGTACTTCCATTCCAAGGTTGCAAGATTCACTCAAACGATTCTACTAGTATACGCTGCCGTGCTAAGGAAAAACTCCGTATGGACCTTCAGGCGTTACGGAATTTCCTATGACAAATCGCTAATTTATGGCAAATATTTTTCGGTCAATTTCTCAGATAATTTTGTTTGTAGTGTGATCTAAATCGTCTGAAAATTTCAAGGAGATATATTCATAGCTTCCCGCAAAAATGAACATTTTATCGAAGGATATTCGGCAACTCTCGAATGTTCATACGGCGTTCTTCCTCAGCACGGCAGCACGAGAGTATGACATTCCAGTTTCAGTTCAAATTTTTTCTGAATTTTGTGTGTAGTTAAATGAAAAATTAGTGACATTTTTATTAAGAGACTCCCAGAGGTTTCTTAGTAAAATTAAACTTTGCTAGTAGAAAGTTTGCAACGTTGAACTGAATCTACGTTCTTTTCTCTGGAGAAGAAACGATGAGCTGGACATGCCCAAGTACTCTGCCATGCTATGCAAGAATCCCGTAAATCCATCAAGATTTTCCCTCATTTTTTGGAACTTAACACTTTAGAACATAAAAACAGTTTTTTGTCCGTGCTCCTCAAATTTTCAAGTTAAGTTCTTAAAAGTATTTGCGAAAGAATTCTGTAAAAACAATTTCCTAAGGTACACAAGTTTTTCTGCTATGATATGTTGTTTCCAAAAAATGTAAAATGGCGTTTACGGCGCTTTGGCGTTGCACGGCAGTACTGCAATCACCTATCAAGCTGCTTAAGCCACTCTTTTATGCAAAATTTTAAAGGCAAACTGTTTGAAGTAAGGTTCAATTTTCATCCTGACATAAATATTTTTGTTTGTTAAAATGACCTTTTTGGCAATATTCAGGCCGCATAACACAACGCGAGAACGAGAAATGAATATCAACGCCTGGATACAACTATTCGACCTTTGTGGATGTGCGTGTAGCATCTACAAATACTTGAAGGCGTTTTGGCCTCGTCCGTGTTCTTCGGGCCCTTAAAATGACGTGCAGGATTGAGTAGGGCAGCCTGCCGCACCTAAAATTGATAATTTTATCTATTGATAGTCCAAGTGGGGAACCACAAATCTCTAGTGCGGTGTCTCAAAATGTCTGCTGATATTTCGTTACTTCGGAAGGAAACAAGCCAACATCATAGCTTGATTTCGCACAAAATACTAAACTAACAAAGAGGAAAAATAAAATAAGTTTTCAAGGAATTACGTCCTGCAGTTTCCGACAGAAAAATAAAGTATGACAGAAAGTTTGCAACGTCGCAACCGGAGATAATTGGTTTTCCACTTTGACCATCGATATAATGATTGCCGATTTAAAATTCTATCAATTCGGCAAAAAACTCCAGGGTGAGAAAATCTTCGGGTCCTTCACTGAATCGAAATGAAGTTCAAGATTGGCCCTCGGCAAAAGTCTCCGGGGAAATATCTCAAGTTGCACTTGAGCAACAATTTGAAAAAACGAGGAAAGGTATACGGAAGCGAGTTACTTACTTTATGGAACACAACTAAAAGATCATCTAGTTTGCCGTGAAGATCACCACAAATCGTCACTTGCTTCGAGCTCAGGGTCGAAACTTCGTTCAGATTAGGTAGTGTTTTCAGACGTTTCACAGCTTGCTTTAAAATTGAAGATATATATTTTGCGTGCAGTCTATGCTGAAAAAAGATGTAAATAGACAGAAATAGTATTAATTTATCAGTGCTTTCGTCGAAATGACTTAAACTAACTGAACAGGATTCCTTTACTCACGATGCGATTTTCTTTACTTTAGTGACTCACTATGGACCACTAAGCAAGATAAATGGGCGCGATAGAAGTAAACGCTCGATTATCCCCTGAGGCCCCCCCCCCCCCCCGAAAGAGAGATTATCACCTTTGTTAGCTTATGCCCTGTTTATTGATCCTTTTCCATAGATTTAAATGGCCGATCAATCCATCTATCGCAAAGCACGCCACGCCACTGGCAAAGTGCGAATTTAAGTATTTTGATACATGTTTCTGCTTCAAGATATCACTTAAAACACGATTTTCGAACAGATAATTACCGAAATTAGCTTCTAACTTCGATATTAAAGTTTTTTATTCAGGAATGTTTGAGAAAAACTTGGATCAACTTGAATCAAATCGCGCACTACAGCGGTTTTGCTCGCCTGCTGAATCGAGCAATCTTTCATCCCCACTCTGAGTGTAAAAAAAATTCAAACAGCTCAGTGGCGAGGCGTGGATTAATGACAATCGATATTTTCCCATCAAAATCTATGAAAAGGAATCGATTATTAAGGCATCCGTTGCAAACATCCTTATAATCGATCTTTTTAGATAGATTTAAATAGCACAACAATCGATCCATCGCGAAGCACGCCACGCCACTCAACAGCTGAGCCGAAGCGTTGAGGTTGAGGTTGCCATATTTTCATAACGGAGAGACCATACGTGAAGGTTTAGTTCGTTATTCAACTCGAGTAAAATATTGTTTTTTGTATGAGCGGGAAATATGGTCTAATTAATCGAAAGACGTTTTAATGTTGGGTAGAAGTTACTTACAATGATTTTCGTTGCTTCGCTCGTGTTTCATGTGATTTTTTGATAAGGAAACATCGATTTTTTTTTAAAAAATTTGTTTTTAACCTTTTATTTATATAGTTCTCCTGCCATGGCAGTATTAGGAAATTATACATTAGATTACATTATGATTTACATTAGGTAACTGGTGGACACAGGGTCCTAATTTATAAACACACATGTATCACAATACATAAAGTCGCACCTTATCTAGGGATCAATTTGACCGAATTTTGCCCTGATTTCTCAACCTATCAAGTTGAAATTAAGTCACGAAGGGAGCTAAAAAGTTAAATCCCTCGCATTAAACGAGGTGGAATAAATAAAACGATTTCTCTGGACAGATTATTATTGACGCCTCCCAACTCTCCTTCCCCCCTCAGCTGCCCAATCCTGTCACTTTAATTAAATCGGAAGTCAAGACACTGAGATTCATCAGTGCTCTTGAAAGTAAGTCAACCTCATTTTCCTTGCTTCGTCGAACTGGAGTGAGGAAATTGAAGTTATCAGCAAATTTAAGAGACTTTAAAATATAGACACTGATAAGTTAAGTCGAAACAGCAGATCGCGATGTTGCAAAAGTTTACGACAGGAAATAATCATACAACGGGAGGTTCGGAAAACAATTTGCAAATAAAGTATTTAGCAGAAAGGAACCAAGCCACATCAGCTGTTGCCAAATTTAACTGGGCAATTTACTTTTTTACAAGAGAACGTTTGTGTGGAAATCTTTGAAAATTTAAAGGAATTTGCTTCGCACTATGCAGACAATTCACTAAAATTGGCACAAAAATCCGCACCACCGTTTTCATGTAAAAAATTAAATTGCCCGATTAAATTTGGCAATCGCTGATCTGGCTTGGTTTCTTTCTGCTTAACGCGGCCCACTTAAAATTAGCCAAATGTCAAAATCACAATGACACTATGATTTGTGTTCTATTCGATCATTCAAACGGGTGAACCAGTTACAAGCAGAAGAGAAACTAACGCAGAAGAAGAAAAATAAAAAAAGAAGAGGAAGAACAAGAACAAGAAAAGAGGTAGAAGAAACAAGAAAAGAAGGAGAAGAAAAAGAGAAGAAGAAGAAAAAAGAGAATAAGAAGAGAAAGAAACAAAGAAGAAGAAGACAATAAGAAGAAGAAGAAAAGAGGAAAAAGAAAAAGAAAAGGAAGAACAAGAAAGAAAGAAAGAAAAAGAAAAAGAAGAGGAAAAAATAAAAGAAAATGAAAAAGGCAAGGAAGAAAAAGATGAGGAAAAAAGAAAAGAAGAAGAAAAGAAAAGAAGAAGAAAAGAAAAAAAGAAGAAGAAAAGAAGAAGAAGAAAAGAAAAGAAGAAGAAGAAAAGAAGAAGAAGAAAATAAGAAGAAAAATAGTGGAAGGAGAAAATAAGAGGAAGAAAAGAGGAAGAAGAAAATAAGAAGAAGAAAAGAGGAAGAGGAAAATAAGAAGAAAAAGAAAAGAAGAAGAAGAAGAAATAAAGAAGAATCAGCAGCATCTGTCTCCACAGGAAGATTATATTAAGAGGACATAAGTTGATTATTTAATGAGCTAGAAATGGACTAAATTCTGCAATGGGCCTGTTGCATGCAAGAGATACAGCCGTGCGAATAGACTTTTCAGTGGTTAAATGACACGAAAATTACGATGCTCACATTAAAAAAGTCTGAAATACACTCCTTATTGCGCAATTTGCGTCGTCAGGAACGCGCTTTTTCAAATTTCCCGCGTCTGGGGGCAGTTTCCTAACGGAAAGAATTAACGGAAACTCGCGGCTATTTCCGGTCAACTAAAACTGACAACATAACCTAAAAATCGGAGCTCGTGATATCGTGAAATGAAATGTAGAGGGATTGCGTCGGATATTTAAAAGTTGATCGATTTGGTGACCGCATAAAGCGTATATGGACCACTATAAGAGATCACGTCGGGTTTGTGAACAAACTGAAGGAAAAAATAACAACAACAACAACGACTCGGCATATTCCGGAAATCACCGAGCCCGCCGTTTGCTCGTTTCCGGTGATTAGAAAACTGCCCCCAGACGCGGGAAATTTGAAAAAGCGCGTTCCTAACAACGCAAATTGCGCAGTAAGGAGTGTATTTCAGACTTTTTTAATGTGACCATCGTATTTTTCGTGTCATTTAACCTCTAAAAAGTCTATTCGCGCGGCTGTATCTCTTGCATGCAACAGGCCCATTAGGAACTATGATTTCTGGCTCATTTTAGGAGCAACGCAAGTGTTATTAGTCTCTATACGCACATAGGTGTTTTTGCGGATGAGCCATAATTTGTAGCTCCTAATTGCAAAATGTAGTCCAAATATTTATATGAGTGGAGATATTGGGGATGGAAACTTACTTTTTCCTTCTGGAAGGTTTCGATGAGATTCTTGGCATCCTGGCTGGTGATCGGGTTCCCGACGTGGACGCCCTTGTACCTGTTGTCGGGCGGCATCGTCGGCGAGTCCACATCATCCAGGCCGGAGAGTCGCCTGTCCTGAGTCGAGGGCCCGTCAACGATCCCTGATCAATGAAATCCCTCACAATAAGCTCAAATCACTCCCCTGGATCCAACGTCAAGAATCTTACTTTTCGTCTCATGTCCAAATAGCCATGAATCAAAGCTCAAAACTTTCATAAGAAAGTTACGTTTAAGTAAGACCGTATTTAAATAATGCTTAATTCTCTCCCCAGTTGTCTAGATCCGGCGGATCAAAATCCTACGAATAGCGGGAAAAATTAGGATACACGGTTTTATTTTTTTGAGTTGTTCTTTTGGGTATAAAGAATGCTCACAAAAAAGTCCCCATGAATCCGAGTTGTGCTGAACCCCCCTGGTAAAAATTGGCAGTAGAATCTGCGTTCCAAAATACCATAGACCTACGGCCGGCTGTACAATTTCCAATAGCTTCTATAGCCGGCCACACAATTTCTTATAGCCTTTTATAGCCGATGGCGATTAAGCAACTCACAGCCAGGCGATAAAGTGTATGCTAAACGTCACTAATTACGGATGCTAAGACTTAGTGAGTTTTTGGACCACTGCTCTCTTTTTGGGCCGTAGTATCTTGATTTATTTTGCGAGGAAAGCTTCATACTTTTGAAGGATGCCTGCCATTCCTAATATGTTGGGGCGCCTTCAATTTCGTATGATACTGTGCAATACCTCTGGTGTGAAATAGTTGCTTCAAGCGCCGTGGCACGCTGCGGTGCGGCAGGCGGGCAGCCAGCGCGGAACGCGCATCGGCGCCTACAAACCTAACAGGGATACTTCACGCGTTGCGCAATGCGTGAAGTATCCCGGTTAGGTTTGTAGGCACCAGTGCGTCGCCTCTCCGCTTTGTGTTAGGCTCTAGTATTTAATCTGGCGGAGTCAGCGTTATTCAACTCATGATTTTGAAATGTTTGCACATCCGGTATGGATTATTCTCGTTTTAATTGAAAAAAACAAAAATATGTATTAAAGGAAAATATAACGTGAGTTTTGTAAATATTAAGGTGGTTCCATGTCAAACTTAATGATTTCCAAAGCACACGAATTTCTACACAATTTCTTAAAGCCTTTTATAATCGATGACGAAAAAGCAACAGCCAGGTGATATAGTGTAAGCCCTGCTATAGGAACTATAGCCCAGCTGCATAATTTTTTATCGCTTCGTATAGCCCGGCCGTATGATTTTCTCCGCATTCTACAGCCAGCTATATGATTTTCTGTAGTTTTCTTTAGCCGGCTATAAAAATTCCTACGGTATTTTGAAACGCAGCTCTTATCGCCAATTTTTACCAGGGCCAGGAGAGGGGAAATGGTCAAATTGGGGTATTTCCGAGTTTTTCTTGACTTTTATTTTTTAAATGTTGGCTTGAGTGCAATAAAAGATTGTATTCAATTTAAGCCATCACCGAAAAAAAGTGAAGTTGATTAACATCCTGGATGCAAAAAAAAGTGTGCGAGAACTTATAAAATGCTGAATTACCCGCTTTAGCAATGCCAGGATGTAAAACTATCTGCTATGTTGGGTAATTTAGCATTTTATAAGGACTCGCACACTTTTTCTTTTCACTTTTTCCAGAATGTTAAATCAACTTCACTTTTTTTTCGGTGTGTATCGTGAGATTTATTTGAAACTATTCAAGACTTCGGTACACTCATTGTTGGGCATCTCACGATAGTTCAAATTGAATACTGTCTTTTTTGCGCTCAAGTCAACATTTAAAGCTCAAAAGTAAAGAAAACACCAAAAATACCCCAATTTTACCCTTTTTCCTCTCCACTGGGTTCAGCACAACTCGGATTCACGGGGACTTGTTTGTGAGCGTTTTTTATACCAAAATGAACAACTTAAAATAATGAAACCGTGTATCCCAATTTTTTCCGCTATTTTTTCCCCGCCTGCATCTAGACTATAGGGAGGGTCCGTAAGGTTTATACACTGTGTGCAAAGTGGCCTTCAGCAGGAAATCATAAAAAAGACAATTTTAATGAACTTCCAGTTGACTAAACTCCAATTTCCATTACCTTGGAAGAAGATCCTTGCGAGAGATAACATCAACATTTGCTACTACAAAAAACGTAAAACAGAAAAGAAAATGTTTTTTTTAAATTTTGAAGATTTTAGAATAGGTCTATGTCCACCTTGAAGTTTGTTAAAATCATAGAGCTATTAATTTTATGTTTTGTACGTTTCTGTATTGTCGAATCATTTAAATCCCTTGCAAGATCTATTTTCCAATTTATTTTGTGGAATTTTACCAAAGTCTCGTGAAATTTTCCTCTTTAATGATTCTATTTCAAAGGCATCTTTTATCACAATACGATTCAAATAGGACCTTCCCGAAGGAAAGAGTTCATTAAATAACGATTATAAATACGGCTCTTGATTATCAATCCAAAATTTCTTGACGTGAATGAGAAAGCACGGGCACTCTCGTTCCAACTATTAACAAAATATATCTTCGAAAGTATCTTTCAACGTCAGTCTCAGACTGTCTTAATTGTGCAACTTTTTTTTTCCATCCCTTTGTTTTCTCTCGTACGTTTCCCGCTACTGTAGATACCCCTTTTAACTCACTTAAACCTCGGCAATAGTGCTTCACTCGTTTGCCGAGGGATATTTCCCTCCCATCACCGCTATTTGGCGAACAGCCAACGTACTGCATCAATGCAGGGTCACCAAATTCTCAAGAGCATACCAGTTCCTCGACCGAGACCGAAAGGCGTTGAATTTTTGATGAGAATTGACAATCCTGCGTCAATTCATATTCCACGGATATAATGCCAAAAGTTTTAGTAGATTAAATTGGCACGGAAACACTTCCCACATGATTGCAAAGGGGTAAAACTATTATATCTAATCTCCTGCGCCTTCAAAGTCGGTTAACGGTGCGAAGTAGCTTGCCGCATTAGTTTTCATCACATTTTTTGGGTTTTTCAGGAACCCCTCGCCCCCCCCCCCCACCGTATAGGTATATTGTGAGAAATCGAAGCAAGCTGCAAAAGTGTATAAAAGGGACCCCCCGCCCCCCATAAAGTATATTGTAAGTCGTTTTTATACCCAATATTTATTATTAACTTACTTTAATTGAATTTTGATCAATGATTTATATTTCAACGGAGTACTTACTAATATTGCTATTTCTGAGGGACATTTTGGAAGTATATGTTTTAATAATCAAAACCAAGTTAATAAAATACGTCATAAACCGACCTACGGCTGTAGTGGGTTGGGGTTGGAATAATCCTGTGAGTCTCAGTCGAGGATTTAATGGTATCATGGATTCTATGTGGCATGAGAGATGATCCCATGCATACTTAGATCGTATTTAGAAAAAAAGAACCAGCGCAATTACAGTGTTGTTAAAATGATGCTTATTCATAATTATCTAAAAAATCTCCCAGAACAGCGAATAGTTTTTGCTTCCCACCAAAAACTTTTTAATTTTCAAGGAAAATAATTTTGTAAATCTCAATATAGTACACTAGGGCGCTATGCTCCCTGGCCAGAGGCGGGTCCAGCTATTTGGCAACACCGGATTCCCACCATTTAAGCCTATGATAAACAATCGATTCTTGTCGGAGCACCTTGCCTCTCCAAGAATCGATACATTTCCATAGGTTCAAATGGGGAAAAACAATGTTATCAATTTGCTGGATCCGCCAATGGCCCTGACCGCTACGCAGCCCAACCCTCGAGGCGCTACGTGCCCCCAAAGGCTGCTTTGTGGCCAGCTAAATCGTCGAAATCGCCCGTTGGCGATCAATGAGCAAATCATTTTAATTGAATAACAAAACGATGTTTCAAAAAAAAAAAAAAAAGTTATTGATGACTTTCTCCTTCATCTGAATTTTGATTCCCTTTTTTGGAAGTCGACCTTGACAGAGCCACATATAGCTGTCCATGACTAAATAAAGGCCTCTGAAAGTAGAGACCCACTCTATTAAAACTCTGACCTTTGAACTTCCCTCCCTCACTCCCGCATACCCATCGACTGTCTTACTCTCATACCTCGCCCCGTCCATCGAGCATTGGCGGATCCAGCAAATTGGCAACATTGTCTTTCCTCAATTTAAACCTATGCAAATGTATCGATTCTTGGAGGGGCCAGGTGTTCCCTCAAGAGTCAATTATTTAGCACAGGTTTAAATGGGGAAAATCCGATGTTGTCAAATCGCTGAATCCGCCTCTGCCATCGAGCGTCTTAAAATTATTTTATCAGAATAGAGAAGATATTTTGAGGATTTTGAAAAGAAAAGATCACTGAAATAAAATTCTCGGCGTTTTTATCAAGGTCCGTTGGTACCTTTATCATCTCGCTTTTTTTACTAATTATTGGTAATTTTACCAAGACAGACTGGTAAGCTTACCTAAAAACCGGTATTTTTACTGTTTTTTCAGGTAAGAATACCACTTTTATTGGTAATCAATTCCCGGTAACTTTGCCATTTTATCTCGGTAATTCTAAAACAGTCGATAAAAAATATTTGCGCTTTTACCGGGGTCCAGTAAAATTACCGAGAAAGTCAATAATTTTACCGAGATTTCTCGGTAAAATTACCAATTCCATAAATGGTAATTTTACCAAGAAAAAACTGGGATCAAATAGAACGCTGAATTCTTGGTAATTTTACCCTTTTCTTAGTAAATACACCGAGATTTTTTTTTCGGTGTGAACCCGCACGATTCGACAACACTGCAATCACGCTGGTTCCTTCATGCTGAATGCGATCCACTTATCACAGAAAGGAACTTACTTCTTGGAGTTTCAGAGGTCTTCTCACTAGTGATGCTGCGATTCTCTTGAGCTGGTATCAGAGTGAGGAGAGCGTTGAAAAAATTGTACAGCTGTGAACACGGAAGCAAAAGAAGTGGCAAGTCAGAATCATCGGAGGAAAAACAGCAGGAGAAATATGTTCGTCGAGACGAAGAGAAATTACTTTTCCCTAAGTGCAGACTCGAATACAGATCTGCATAAATAAAAACAAGGGTAATTAACGCCAGCCCCACGCATTTTAAATGAAACGGGTTCTTATTCTCTATTTTTATTAGACTTCCCAGGAGCTAGGAAGGATACGATTCTACGGAACTCGTCAGAACTACCTCCTTATTCAAAACGAACTTAAAAGTTTTGCCCTTCATCATTCATTTCACCGTCCCGGTCAAAGTTGTCAAATGGGGCCATAACATGTAATATTCAGCATCAAATCAAAAGGGAGGTAAAACCCGGCGATCTGCCTGCGATCTGGCAGTTTTAGTTGCGGTTTTGTGGCTTTGATGACTTTTTTATTGAGTTGAACTTACGCGATAGGTACCTCAACTTTCAGCCCAACTTCGGAGGAAAATACCGTCGAGTAAAGTTTACTTTAAGTAGTCACAAACTCGTCACGAAATGAAACCACACATGCAAGCATAAAAACACAGCTTAAACATTGGAGGAAAGTGCTCCCTCCAAATCATTTGTATGCTCAACGAAATTTGAACGTAATTCAACTCGAACGGAGGGAATCGAGTCTAACGTAAGTATCGAAGGTTACGACCAACAGTTTGGTGCACCGTTGAGGTGCTTGGCAGACAAGGCGCATAAGTGCAGTTATTGCTTCAAGAAATATGTGTTTGAAGTTTCGAAATGACATTGATCCTTATGGCGGAAAGAAAGTTCGAACTGACTTTTTGACGCTTAAAAATTGGAATTTGGGAGCGAATTCTTCACAGAATATGCATCGAGACTAGTTTTAATTGAAATAATCAAAATCCCATTTTTTCAAAAACTGCACTTATGCACCTTGCCCTCAAAGTCCCTCAGTTCCTATTTTGTATAATCCTTTGCTTGAACTTGCACAACAGTTTTTTTTTTTTTTTTTTTTTTTTTTTTTTTTTTTTTTGGCATGGCGTAACCAAGTCGAGAAACGAAAAAACTCGACGTAGAAAGTAAAGGAGAAAAAATGATAAAATATTCGGTCTGATTTTCTTTCCTAAAAATGGTATCTTCAGAAAGAATGAGCCCACAGAAGTGGACGGAATAGTATTTTTCTTTATTTGTTCACACAACCCCTTGTATCAACAACCTACTTTGGGAGTTAACGTTCCTAGACTGATATTCTGTCGTGCTGATGATTGATGCCTTCAGCGCATTTAGGCGCGTCACCGAACTGTCTCAGAGAATATGCGGATTTTTCAGCGAATTTATGTATTTTTCTTCTTAATTTTTCGCAGCAGTTTGGCCACCATTCAATCAGGATTATCTGTGGTGCGCTTTGGACATCAGCGCAATGATCCCATATCCTTCCCTAACTTTTCTTAAACATGTAATATCGAAATACGGGCAGTGAAACTACGAAACAGCGGAGAGGCGATTATCGATATTTTCCAATCGGTGAAAATGTAATTTTCATTCCCGTTTATGACACAATGGAGGCCTAAAATAAGGGAACCAATCGTCTTTACGTAATGTCTTCACTCTCAGTATAAAGGATCTCTAGTATGACTAATCACTGAAAAAAAAATCTCGGTGTATTCACTAAGAAAAAGGTAAAATTACCAAGAATTCAGGGTTCTATTTGATCCCAGTTTTTTCTTGGTAAAATTAGCATTTATGGAATGGGTAATTTTACCGAGATTTCAACTTTCTCGGTAATTTTACTGGACCTTGGTAAAAACGCCAATATTTTTTATCGACTGCGGTAGAATTACCGAGATAAAATGGCAAAGTTACCGGGAATTGATTACCAATAAAAGTGGTATTTTTACCTGAAAAAAAAACAGTAAAAATACCGGTTTTTAGGTAAGCTTACCAGTCTGTCTTGGTAAAATTACCAATTTTTGGTAAAAAAAGCGAGATGGTAAAGGTACCAACGGACCTTGGTAAAAACGCCGAGAATTTTTTTTCAGTGCAGTATAAAGGAACTCCAGTATGACTAAAGGCCTAGATACACACGGCGATTAATCGCGGCGAGTGAAAGATGAAAGCCAATAAAGAGCCTTGATTTCGATCCATTGACGTCGATATATCGAAATCAAGGCTCTCCATTGGCTTTCGTCATTCACTCGTGGCGATTAATCGCCGTGTGTATCTAGACCTTGACGGTATACTCACTCTATGATGAGAATTGGACGTATTTCTGCCAAACGGAACTATGTGCATTCAGACGTGAGCCCTGAGACCCATAAGAATACACGCATATCAGGGCTCACGTCATAATGCACATAGTTCCGTTTGATAGAAATACGTCCAATTCGAGGCAATAAGTTTGCTCTATCATCGCTCGTAGACGGCGAATTAAGGAACGTCTTCCCACGATGGTATAAACGGCGTTATTTATTATTACGTTATGCAGGTGTAATTAAATCTACTCGTTAATTAATGCAGAGTGCGGATATATACGCTCGCGGTTCCCCGGCGAAATTTAAAACCGTGCCTTTGAAGTTTGATACACCCTCCCGCTGGATTTATTCATCATGAAGTGATGGCACGAAAGCGGAGGAAAGATATGATTGTCTCGTTAAAGTTCCCGTGACTTTGCTCTATTGCAGCGACTACTCGAAAATGATGAGTGCTCGAGACGTGTGCTCAGAATGACGTCACGTAGATGTAAGAGTGTGATGCATGCTATAACCAAATATCTTTGATGAAACTCAAGGCCATTATTCCCATCATTCCTTTTGTTTTCATATGAGGCACACAGGAAGAAAAAGTAACCAAAATCTTGTGTTAATATGGGAAGTAAAACACGAAGTAGCACAAAACTGTAAGTTGATTTTTGTGTGTGTTAGTTTGCCCTGTGTCAAATCGACCAAATCTTTAGATTGAGGTGACCTAATCTTTGTTTTGAAAATCTGCGACATCGTGAAACATTCGTCACCAGTCGGATCGAACCTACACGGAAAAAATTAAATTTCTGATTTAACAATTCAATTGCTATTAAAAAAAAATAAAAGTGACTGCAATGTTTCAATGCAGATTTTACATGAAAAACATGCTACTTTAACCACCCCCGTGGTTGAAGTAGCTCACAATAGTGGTTAAAGTAGCATTTTTTTGTTGTAAAATCTACGTTGTTGAAACGTTGTAGTCAATTTTTTTAGCAATTGAACTGTTAAATCAGAAATTTAATTTTTTCCGTGTAGATCACGTCGGTGGTATTCTAATGCGCCAGCCACTCGCGAGGCGAGATCTCTGAGTTAAAGAAAGAGTACATAAGTTCGGTAGGAAATTTTCCTCATAATCCGATATTTTAGAGTAACCTACGGTTTAATTTCGGTAAAACCTCAATTTGCATTATCTTTGTTGTATGAGGCGTTCTAAGTAAATCACTCCTTAAAAAATGTAAACTACATTACGTAAACGATTTAATTTTTCTAGAAAATAAACGATAAAGCAAGAAATATAGCTTTTAAATTAGTTTAATCGAAAAATAGTATTTTTTTTTTTTTTAAAAAAAAGAGGCTAGAAAGACTTGAATCCACCCCTCCCTTCCTCTGCCCTTTGCTTTGCACCGTAGGGCAAGCTTAGAGCCACCCTCTCTCCCTTTTGGCTTACGTAATACATAGTACTTGAGCGGTCCCGTGGCAGGAATATTAACGAAGAAAGCCTGAAATATAGCTATTAAAAAAAAAAAAAAAAAAAAAAAAAAAAAAAAAAAAAAAAAAAAAAAAAAAAAAAAAAAA